TCTTTAAGAAAAATCCTTCATAAATGTCATGTGGAAGCTGCTCAGGCGTCTCAGTAATTCCTCCATGACGTCCTGAGGGACCGCAATGCAAAATCTGCAGAGACAAAAAAAAAAAGACATTGAGACTTGGACCATGAAATGAATCCATCTGCAGTCTAAACATAGACTTCTTTTAACAATAGAAATGATTTTTCTTGTTTTGTTTCATACCAAAAATAAAATTGCTTTATATAATATCTATAATTTCTCAATTATGTATTTTGAAGAGTGCCCGACTTGTATTGTACCTGATGTGGTAGGTGCCCTCCTTTTGTCCGTACTCCCAACCAGGACCGGTAAACACTCCACCTTCTTCTAGCAGTCTCGTACAGTAGAATGTGTCTGGCTGCAGTCCTAATTCCTGAAATATCCAAGGAAAACAACAAAAACACATTTCAGGAAAATGAACCAGGAGAAAGTTCAAAGGGCTTCAGCACCGATTATGTAATACATCCTCTTGCATTTCTGCTGTAACCTTGGCTTTCTGAATAGCTTTTGGTGTGAGGTGCAGTCTGGGGAACGCAAACAATCCTCCTTCAATGGGTGAGCAGCTGAATCCCGGTAGGCTGTTGACAACCTCGTGGACTCTCTTCACGTTATGAACCAGCACAGTCCTGATCTGCTCAATTTCCTGCAGAATACATCAGCTTGTAGAAAATGGCAAATTCTTTATCAAAAACAGCTACAGCTACAGTGCTACATGTAGTTGGTCATCCTCAGCTAAACAAGAGTACAGTTCTCAGGTCCAACCTGTTTATAGAGCAGGTACGAGGGGTCTCCTGGCTTTGGAGGGTCCATCATCAGATCCAGGGCAATCTGACCTAAAACTGTTTCACAAGAATCTTTGGAGAACAGTGTGTGGATGTATTTCATGACAGCAGGATCCAGATTTACCAGCTCGACATATCCAGCACGGAGACCACACCTAATGAAAGAGACTAACATGTAGAAACAACAAAAAACTTAGCTGTTCTGGAGCTTTGCTTCTCATGATCACTCTCAGTGGATGACCAGTTTATCACTGAATTTCATTGTTTGTTTTTTTTCATTTCACACTATCCCTACCATCCTCCTCTGACACACCAACCCTCTGCACGCCCTTCTTTACTACATCCTATGAAGATTTCTTCTTTACTTCCTGCCTGCCAGCTCAAGGGGACTGGTACATCAAAGGGAAAGCTCAGGTTGATCAGTTTGGAGACATAGTTTGAGACCGAGATGGTTTGGACATGTGCAGAGGAAGGATAGTGGATATACTGGACACACAACCTTCCTTTTGACTCTTGCCCTGAAATGCATTCCCATCCTCTCCACCCTGCTTGCACTCTTAAAAGTATCACTGTTACACCTGTGATACTTTTAAGTTCTGTATTTTAGCTTGTATAAGAAGTGTTTAAACTTACAATGAGACTCTGGTCAATGATCTCTTTGTTCATACCAGTCTAAAGAAAATGTCCAAAGCTATTTTAGCACACTTGGCATTAATTTGCATGAATTTCAAAAAGACATTTCTACAAATAACACAGAAAATATATGTTAAACACAAAAGTGTAATTGTCACGATGCAAGTCCTGCAATGCAATCAACTTTGGAAGATTTTACCTAACAGCCATAAAAGACTGACAGACAACATGGGCACCCAAGTTTGTGAATGTGATGACTCGAGATCAAAGTGATGTAGGAGTTTTAAATTACATTATAGGTGTATCTACTAGAAGGCTGAGAGGTGCCACTAACTGCTGCCAGTATCAGGGTAACCATTGCACTGGTTAGCATATTAACCTGGCTGCAAGGAGGTTCAGGGATCAAACCTGCTGACCAGCTGGAGTCTCTCCCTGTGCATATGTGGGTTTTGTCCAGGTTATCTGGCAACCTTTCAGAGTCCAAAGATTGCATGTTAGGTTAACTGGTGACTTTAAGTGTGAATGTGTTTATAAATGACTGTCTCTCTGTGCTGGTCCAATAATAGCCTGCCAGCCTGACTAGGGTGTATCTCACATCTCACGCAGTGACCCTAAGGTATCCAAAAATCTCCTCAGAACTTGTTTTTTTTTTCACTAGTATATCCAGTGTTCAGATTTCTCTTCTGAAAAAAAGCATAAACTGTAGAGAGTAGCTTATGTCACATTTGTGTTTTTCAAGATAAGCTTTCTTAAAACTCAACAATACAGAGAAATAATATTTGTAATGCAGTTAACAAACTTGAGAAGTTAGATGTATAAGTTTTTAAAAATCCTGATCATCTTTGTAGTTGTGCAAATAATGCACAATAGCACTTATAAGTATCAGTGAGCATACTAACGTCTTCATCTTTTTGATCTTCTAGTGAGATTGCTTATTTGACTGCTTTATTTCTTTAAATTTCAGTTTAGTTTTTGCCTCAAGCTTTGTGAGAATCATCCATTACAAACCAGATACATATCTGGACTGAACACATACTCTCCCGAGAAGCTTTTGGACACTGAGTGAAAGGACGCCAGCTCCACTGTTCCTGAGAAAGGAGGCCCCATCTCGCTCAAAGTCCTTTTGTAGGAGACAAACTCACAGTTTTCCCCATAAACACAGTCCTGATAGACCTGCAGTGCAACATGTAAACATCCATAAGTTCCTTTATACAGATGCATTTGGTTTTTAAAATATGCTTGCATGGATGATAATAGCTTCTCCACCTCATCAACCAGAAGAAAGAGCCTCTTTTCCCAAGCAAACCGGATCACCTCTTGCACTGATTTTTGGCTCTGAACATAACCTACAGGCAGTGTGGCATAAAAACAAGTAAGAGTATAATATTCATCCTGTAACACAAAGAACAAACACTTACAGTAGACGATCCCCACACTGGCTGGAATAAATACCTGCTGGATTTCCGGGGTTGATGATGTACAGAGCCACAGGATTACAGACTCCCTTTGCAGATTCGAGCGCTCGCTGCAGCTCTTCCACCTGCAGCGCCCATCCCTGCTCCTCACTCAGGTAATAAGGGACGGCGACTGCACCCAACTGCATTATGGACAACACGGTTTTGTTGTGGCATGGCACTGGAATCAACACACCTGTTCTTGGTGAAGCCTCACGGTTCACTAAGACATTGAGAATGTTCTAAAAAGCACAGAAAAGAGAGCTTGTGAT